TAGATGGCCTGGCATTAACATTACTGCATACTTTAGTCCTATAGATATTGTATGCTTTTCTCTTATTTTGCTTAGCTTCAGCAAATGCTCCAATGTGAGTCAATGAGTTGGCAAGAAGATGATGACTAGAGAAGAGAGGGAGGGAGGTAGAGAAAGAGGGATGGAGAGAGAGGGAAAGAGAGAGGGGGAAGGGAAGGAGGAGCCAAAACAATGAGAAAACGATAAGATAAGATGTACATGTACATGTATCTTATCATTACTAACATTGTGGCTACAGTAATTGATTGACTTCCATGAAACCTAATGAACAGATACAAGAACAAACATAGCCAGCCTTAATTCTCTTGATTTGTATATACTAGCTCACTTGTTTTGTAATCTACGAGCACTTTCCAGATATTCCTGACTTTCTTCATAATGACCAGCATTACTCAGTAGTAAACCAATGTAAAACTACTCAATGTAATTAAAATAAATAATAACAGTTATGATACAAAATTTACAATACTTTTAAACAATACATGTACATGTGTATGATGAAACTAGAGAACATTGATAAAACAATACTTACATCAACATTAGACATTTCAGGATGATCCTCACCAAGTGTTAACATTATTAGATACATAACTCTATACAGTAATCTCAACGCCACAACATTCTTCTCAGCCCCACAGCAATACTAAGCCAAATGGAACTATATAAAGAAAAAAATCAGTGGTGGGCTTAGTCGTTGAAATTATCATGATCATGGTTTCCTGCAGAATTTTGACATAATGCTCTCAGTGAATTTTTAAAGTTGTTCCAAATGTTGATAAAATATTTCAGAATGTATTTTCCCAAAATTTAATCAAACATTGCAAAGGTAAAACTTTTATTAAACTTTGTGATACATATAGAAGTTCTAATACTGTGAAAAAATTTTAAGCAGACTCTAGTCAAAATTTGGATTTTTATAAATTTTAAAACTTGCTTTAAAATTGGATCAAAGACATGGTACATGGTATTTGGCCAGAATTTGCCAAAAAGAACATAGGAGAAAATTCTGTGTTTATAATTTTCTCATAACATGTCCATATGTTGTACAGAAAGTTAAAGCTCATTCTGATCAAAATCAGATTTTCATTAATTTTTAAATTTTGCTAAAAAGGGGCCAATACCAAAGAATTTGGTTTATGACCAAATTTTGCCAAAAATTGCTCAAGAGACATGTTTCTGATACTTATACATGTCCTAATGATGTTCCAAAGTTTGAGCTCATTCTAATCAAATTTGGATTTTTTATAAATTTCAAAGGCTTGTCAGCTCATAAAGCATGCCTTTTAGCTCACTTAGCATGCTTTGTGGGGAACTAATAGTGTGATAAATTTATAATAAATATTGTGTGTGTGGCCCGTTATTAATAACTAACATAGGCTGATATAGAGCTGCAGTGGTCCACTCCTAGCAGTCTCTCATACATAATGACAGTTTTGTGCTGAAATGATATTGCCTGAAGATGAAAAAAGAGAGAGATTAAATGTAGCAAGTCAATTTAAAATTAAATTTCAATTGAGTAAATAATTAATTGCTACCTTGTAAAGAAATTAAAATATTAATAAAGTTTTAAAGCGTTTTGAACTAAAGTCTGTTGAGTTTCATTTGACTTAGTGATTTTTAACGACCTGGGGGTGTAGTCCCCTTGTCGTTCCTACATGTATAATTGATTTCACCCACATGTGATGCTTGCATATTTGTATGTCCACACTTACATTTCTTTTATACATGTTGTATTGGAGAAATAAGAAAATTCATAAGCCTTAGCAAACACCCTCCCACGCTCCTTTAAGTAGTCAGAGCAAACAAAATGGTGGCTTACACATAGGACAAAGTTATAAGTTTTTATGCAAAAGAACATATGTACAGTCTCAAGACCTTTCTTGAAGGATTAGAAGGTAGAGAAAACCTCTTTAAGTTTTAAT